GAGAGGGAGAGACTTCTAATGAGGTAATCGACACCCCATAGGGAGGAGCTTCGGCTCGATGGAGGACCATATATAGCCAGATTGGGAGGTGCGCGTCTCATTTAATAAGGGCCGGAGGACCAGAGCGTGCGGGGGGGCCTCCGGACGCCCTCCGGGAGGGAGGGGGCGGAGGAGGCGCCTTCACTCCTGCCCCTGATCCATTGACTGGAGGTGGTGGGGGAGGGGGTGCCGAGACTGGTAGACTGGCCTGGCTTGCCTGCTGTTCCTTGAGGAAATCAATGATGAAGTCCTGGTTGTCCTGGATAAAGTCGTCGGTAAGACCCTGTGCCTTCAAATCGTCTCCGAAATGTTCTCTCCATAGCGGGTCGAAGGCGTCCAGGGTGGCAAAGGCAGAGGGGGCCGGTGCCAAAACAGGCGGCGCATTGTACCCGTTGACGCTCCCGGATCTGTTATCTCGCGTCGAAGCGGCAGGGGCACGTGGCGATTCGGGCGGAGTGGGAGCGGACGAGTGACGGTGACCGAAGAGACCCCCAAGCAGACCATGGTGATGCTTGTGCGGGGCAGCTTGCGCCGAGCCTCCAAACGGTGTCTTCAGCGTGGCCTTGCTCGCGTTCTTCTCCCGGTCATTCATCTTCTTCAAGAACTGTTTGGCCTCCTTCTCGTCCACAAAGGACAGCCCCGCCAAACACTCTTCCAACTCAAACGTATGAAAAAAGACACGGTCTTGGTTGTAACTCCATGTGTCGAATAGCTCTTGGTCCCAAATGACACCTCGGTTTCCGGGCTGTCCAGCCGTTAGCAAGGTGTACCAGCAATACCATTGTGCCACAAGTCCCAAGAATTGCCTACCGAGATGTCCACCATCTTCAACCAGTACGTGTTGCCGACCAGGTCATTCGCCAGCACCACAGCACCCTGTAACCCCGTGTATGTCCATTTCGACCGATTGGGATACGCTACGTAGAGGCGAGCAATGGCAACGGCGTGGATTTTGTTGGTTTGCTTGGGCACATGGCGCTTGACGGTCTCCTTGTCGTCGTCATTCAAGATTGAGGGCATCGCGGGGGAAAAGGGGGAAGGTCGGGCGGCGGTGGTGGTCGGTGATTCCGTGCGGCCTTCGGCTTGGAGGTAGTTTGAAAAGATAGCCCAGAAAATTATTGTCCCTGTAGGCTCAACATCAACAGTTTGTGAATCTTGCAGGCAGCGGTCGTTGTTGTCCAGTGGGTGGTTTGGCTGGTGACTGATAGCCTGATAGACGCAGCGAGGCGCTGATAAGGCACATAGAAACTCGGCGCTACCGTCCTGGTGCGCAGCAAAAGGGCCGTTGTCGTCAGCGAGTGCGCGGCGGAGAGCGAGGTGCCCGGTGCGGTGCGGGTGCAGTAGCTGTTTGCTGGTAGGAATGGTACCCAGAGGGTTCAGAACAATGGCAAGACGGAGGGCGGATACGTCGGGTTCGTGATGATGATTCTGGAAAGGCTGCTGCTGACTGGGGAGTTTCATTAAACGTTTGCTTGCATCACCAGGCTGCTGATTCAGGGAACCCTTGCAGGTATCCAGCGGTCTCCTCTCTGGAATGGCATGGCTGGCACTACGGGTCAGCCACAATGAGGGGAGCAGGGATAAGTAAGATTAAACACCGCCACAGCTCACCAACGACTCGTCGACTCCTAGGCGAGGTCTCTTTTGGCTCTTTGAGCGCCGCCTTTATGCATTTGAGAAAAAAGAGGTCAAAGTCATCAGTTTTTGTATTTTCTGGCATCTGAAGCGCGATCCCCAGCCGTATTCTGTACATGACCTGCCAAACGGTAGTTTGAGAACTCACATGCTGGTTGGCTCACGGCTTCAAGTGATCGGCGAACGGCCGTTACCAAGAAGCTGGTTGAGTGAGTTCCTTGTCAGCTATACATACATATCTGAAGAGGTCACATGTAGGAACGATATTCCGACGGAAACATAAGCACACATATTGGACAATTCATAGTTATTGTAGGTTCGTCAGGTTTGTCATTAAAACTAATACACGCATAGTAATACAGCCCGGTCAGGGATCCGTCTAGGAGTCGGCCATGGAAAAATGAAAACTAGGAAGATGATGGTCTAGTCCATTCAGTTGTTGAGGTCCTTTGCCTTCTCATGACGCTCCTCCTTGGTCCCCTCCTCCTGAGCATTGAAGTTATCACTGATGACAGGTCCAGGGTTGGCGGAGTGAGCTTCCAGGACCTTCTTGGTCTCCTCGCTGAGCTTCTGGAAGGTGCCCTTTTCACACAATGTCAGTCCCATGCCATATCGAGATGGTGGAAGACCGCGGTCTGCCTACCTTATCTTGCTCCTGCTCATCGATGGGCTGGATGGAGAACTTCTTGTTGGACTCAGACATGGTGATTGTCTGTTTGTTTGGCGCGGTGACGTGCAGTTGGTGATGTTGCAGTTGCAGGGGTGTGTAGGTGGGGCAGAGGGTTCTTGAGGGTTGAGAATGATATCTTTCGTGGAATCGTTAGGTTTTTGTGTGACTTGATGAAGAAAAAGAAAGAGGAGAGTTGCGAGTAGAAGGAGGAGAGCCTTTGCTTGCCTTTTAAAGGAGATTTCCCTGAGCTGGTACGTATCATCACACTTTGGATCTTGCTGGGGGACAATGACGTCGAGGGTCACGGGTTGGAGCGGCCTTCGGTGGGCATCTTTGGGGCGCGGTCCGCTAATGAGTTAGTGCCCAGTTGAGCGATACGGGGGGTTCCTGTACTAACAAACGGTCCAGGGTTACGTGCCTGCCTTTGTGTTACCAACCACATCGAACTCACCATTCCTCTCATCCACACAACCCTTGATGCATGACACCTCACCTTGTGGTACCATCTTATGGTCACGACGATGTTGTTTGAAGCGGTGTGAGAAGAACTCCAGACTGAACACAGCAAGTCAGTGAAGGCGCCCCGCATGTCTTCTGCCAGCACCCCCCAGCCTGTGAAGCTCTCACTGCCCTTAGTGCGTCTCTCTTGAGTTGCATCCACAGCCGTTTGCTAACTCCCATCTCCATGTGTTAGGTATACCAGCAGAAGCTGTTTGAGGAGCTCCGCAAAGAAGATGAACTGGTGGTTCTGGCCCGAGGTCTCGGCCTCATGCGCCTTATCACGAACCTCCTTCACTCCTATGATGCCGCAGGCAACAACCTGATTGTCATCGTCAATGCCGAAGACAGGGAAAATGCCTGGATCGGTGAAGCGCTCGCCGAGCATGCCGCCATCAGTATGTCACCAAAGGCCAGGGGCCTCACCGTGGTCAACACCGACTACACGAGCGTGGGTGCTCGAGAGAAGATGTATGCTGGTGGTGGTATTTTCAGCGTCACATCACGTATCTTGGTCGTCGATATGTTGACCGGTCTCCTTAATCCGGAAACCATCACCGGCATGCTCGTTCTTCACGCCGACAAGGCTGTTGCAACTTCGTTAGAGGCCTTCATCATCAGGATATACCGCCAAAAGAACAAGGTCGGCTTTCTAAAGGCGTTCTCCGACAACCCAGACCCGTTCACGGCCGGCTTTTCGCCCTTGGCTACCATGATGAGGAACTTGTTTTTACGAAAAGCATCTTTGTGGCCACGATTTCATGTCCACGTCGCGCAGGCACTCGAGGGGAAGAAGAAAGCCGAGGTCATCGAGTTGGAGGTGCCAATGACCAACGCAATGCGTGAGATTCAGGTGGCCATCATGGAATGTGTCGAAGTCAGTATTCATGAGCTGAAGAAGGGCAACACGGGGCTTGAGATGGAAGACTGGAACCTCGACAGCGCTCTTCTCAAGAACTTTGATGTTCTTATCCGCAGACAGCTCGATCCTAATTGGCACCGGGTCAGCTGGAAAACAAAGCAGATTGTGGGCGATTTGACTGTACTCAGGGGTATGCTGCACTCAGTCTTGGCCCTCGATGCGGTCTCTTTTCTTCAGCAACTCGATACCATTCATGCTGCTCACTCGCCACCCCCTGGATCGACAAGACAGACCCAGTCTCCGTGGCTCTTTCTCGATGCAGCCCAGACCATCTTTGACACTGCCAAGAAGAGGGTTTATGCCAGCACCCAGAAAGCGAAGGCAGACTCCAGCATCGATTCTCTGCAACCTGTACTCGAAGAACAGCCAAAGTGGTCAGTATTGGCCGATGTGCTAGAAGAGATAGACCGTGACCTTTTCTTTGAGCAGCAAGCCCGTGACGATTCCAACGGCACCATTCTAATCATGTGCTCGGACACGAACACATGCCGCCAGCTCCGCGACTATCTTCAGACCATGCACGTCAAGCCGAGGACTGAGAAGCGCATTGAGGAGGTCTACGATCCAGAAGAGGACAAGCCTTCAGCCGCCTACATGATGCGCAAGAAGCTGCGCAACTATCTCAAGTGGAAGAGGGAGTTTGCTCAGGTCAGCGCCACACTGTTCGCGGAGAATCAAAAGGCGCTTAGTGGTGCCGTTGACCCCCGTCTTGCGCAGTCCAAAAGCCGGGCACCATCTAACAAGAGACGTCGGGTCCGCGGTGGTGGAGCGGTAGGCTCTGGCTCGAGCCGTCTAGAGAATGGCAGCATCCCGCAGTACTTTGAGAAGCCTAATGAGGTCGCCGAGTTGATGGGGCAGATTGACATTACCGAAGCGGAAGCCAACCAGAAAGATGACCTCGTCATGGCTGACCCGTTGGAAGACATGGACGACTACTATCAGCTCTATGACATGCAAGATCTCGTCGTCATCCACGCCTACGACGGCGATCAGGACGAGCACGTGCTCGAAGAAGTCAAACCCAAGTACATCATCATGTACGAACCCGACGCCTCCTTCATCCGCCGAGTGGAAGTCTACCGCTCCAGCCACAACGATCGAAATGTCAGGGTCTACTTCCTCTACTACGGCGGCTCGGTCGAAGAACAACGCTACCTCTCCACCGTCCGCCGAGAGAAAGACAACTTCACCAAACTCATCAAAGAGCGCGCCTCCATGTCCCTGGTAATGACAGTCGACTCCTCCACCGAAGACCCCCAAGAAGCCTTCCTCCGCACAATCAACACCCGCATCGCCGGCGGCGGGAAGCTCTCCACCGCCACCGCTGAGCCGCCCCGAGTGGTGGTCGACGTTCGTGAATTCCGCTCTTCTTTGCCGTCCCTCCTCCACGGCCGGTCGATGGTCATCGTGCCGTGCATGTTGACAGTAGGAGATTACATCCTCTCCCCCAACATCTGCATAGAACGAAAATCCGTCTCGGATCTCATCTCCTCCTTCTCCAACGGAAGGCTCTACTCGCAATGCGAGACCATGTTCCAACACTACCAAAACCCTATGCTGCTCATCGAATTCGACCAAAACAAATCCTTCACCCTCGAACCATTCGCCGACCTGTCAGGAAGCATCTCCTCCCTCAACTCGGCCAACGCAGGCGAGAAGGACCTCCAGTCCAAGATTGTGTTGTTGACGTTGGCCTTCCCCAAGCTAAGAATCATCTGGAGCTCAAGCCCGTACGAAACAGCAGAGATTTTCGAACGGCTAAAGAGTCAAGAGAAGGAGCCTGATCCGATTGCCGCGGTCAGGGCAGGGTTGAATGACGGGGATGATGTCGAGGGGAGCCAGCAGGGGCAAGGGGCGGCTTTCAACCCGGAGCCGGGGGAGATGCTGGCCGCTGTGCCCGGGGTCACGCCGAAGAATATTGGGAATATTACGGCCAAGATGGAGAATATAAAGGAGGTTGCGAACGCGACGGTTGAGGAGCTGAGTGCGCTTGTTGGGAAGGAGGCGGGCAGGCAGATAGAGAGGTTCTTTGGGAGGGATTTGTTGGAGGATAGTTAAGTGACTGAGAGGAGGGTGTAGATGTGTCGATATGTGGTATGAGGTGGGAGGTAGATGCATAAAAAAATAAAAAAATAAAAATAAAAAAAATGTTTGTTGGCCATGTAACTTGCTCATATGTGGCTTGAACCTGTGCGCCTTTCCCGGCGCCTCTGCGTCATTCGCTTTCCAGCCAGAGGGGGCTTACCCTCGGGGTGACCTGAAGAGCAGCAGCTTCTGAGGCCCCCCCACCCCCAGTTACCACTTTGCGCCAATCCCTCCCACGAATCGCATTAGGAAGTAGGTTGAGAAGTTGCTCTTGTGTATAATGTTCAGCTCTTCCATATTTAAGAACTGAACACTATAGTCGCCAAACAATGTGATTTGGTTGTCGGTTTGACATTCAACATATCCAGTAACACAAACACAAAAATCATTCCAAGAGTATGCCGTATGAAAGATGTATTTATCTAGTAGGTAACCCCCATCAAAACGCAATGCCCTTCCTCGTCCCCTTCTCCTCGCCTCCCCTCCTGACTGCTCCCGCGTAAGAAACGCAGTCTGGGTATTTGGGTATCTTTATTCATTATCCTCCACTCGGTCGCTTGCAAAAGAGAAAAAACACCAGTTCATATCCCATTCATCGATAACAAAAGAAATCTTCCCCTTTCCCATCAATCATGAGCTGTGGCTGTGTTGATGGAACTTAAATGGCAGCAGTAGTCCCGTGTCTCCTCCTCCCAAACCCTCTACTCTTGCGGGTGGTGGTGCCACCGTGGCGACGGCGACCGCCGCAGGTGTTGCAGGTGAGGAAGCCGACGATGATGCCGAGGAAGTTGATGATGCCGTTGACGATGGCCATGATGATGTTGCCGATGCCGTTGATGATGGCCATGATTGTGCGGCCGATGGTGCGGAGAGCACTCTGGATCTGTTTCAATCGGTTAGTTATCAGTCGCTAGTGATGAAAGATGGTGGTGGTGGTGGTGGTGGTGGTGGTGGTGGTGGTGGAGGGGACATACGCAAGAGACGACGGCGCCCATTTTGACTGGTTGGTTTGGTTTGGTTTAGTTTGGTTTGATTTGTGATTGTTTGTTTGTGGTAAAGTGGTGGTGGTTTATTTGAAGTAGCAAGCAAATACTTTGTATTTGTGTGTTGTTGTGTTGTGTTGTGTTGTGTTGTGTTTGTTGATGCTGATGAAAGAAAGAAAAAAACGGAATCAACTCTGGTGGTGGGATGGGAGGATAATATACCAAACTTTCCCCACGACTTGGTTCCTTTTCTTTGAACACAGTTTTCTAGCAGCCACTACCACATACGTCTCCGTCAATAACCTGTTCCTGTCCTGTTCTGTTTGCTCCTGCCGGCTGGGCTGGCTGAACTGGCGCCCCCCGTCATCGTCACTGGTCAACTGGTCTGTCTGGTGGTCGTCTCTGGCCGAATGTGACGTCACTTGGCATTGTCTGCTTTTTTGTGTTCTACCCGGCCGACCACTAACACACCCCTGTCGTCGATCAATCAGTTTGCGAAAATGGAAAGCCATCAGATGGCATTTTTCTCTTTTTTGGGATGGGGGATTTGTTTGAGAATGACGCGCCGTTGGGTTCTGCATTCCAGCTACCCTTCTAACTTGGAGTTGCTGGCCAGCCAACAGCTTGAATTTGAGCTCAATCATGGCAGGTGAAGGTGCGCTGCTTGCCAGCCATCTCGAAATCGAATCATCAAATGCCCGATGTATCATGACTTCCTGCCCGTACAAGACATTCGGAAGATACGGCTCCTCGTCTCCATGCCCATCCCTCTTCGCAATGACTTCACCTCTCTTTCAATTATGTACAACAGCCCGCAAGAGTACCACCTTTCGTACCGGCCACCTCCCGAACTGTGGCTTGATCTGCATTCTGATTCGACAGTCCTCAAAGGCGAACACTTGCGCACCACGCGCGTGGCCTGTCTCCCCAAAGTGGATATTGACGTCATTGACATTTCGTCTCTCAAGTGGTCTGTGCCCTTCCCGTCCGCTCTTGGCGCTGCCTGCTTCTGTCAGTGTCAGGTTCACCTTGGCGGGTTCCATCGGCTGGATTTTCAGGGTCTTCTGGTGGGACATCAAGCAATTGTTGTTTGCGGCTGGGCAATGATATCACAGGGAACCCCCAGGGTCTTCACGTGCGAAGGGGTTTCATAGAAATCTGGCAATATCGGTTCCCTGACAGATCCATGCAATGAACGAATAGCTTGAGCAAAAGCAAGCGTGTTAGGTAAACATTTCCATGTTCTAATTGTATGCCCACTATGTGGCTGGGGCACGACATCATCAAACAGCTAGATTTCCATTCTTTCCAACTGGCTGTCGACATGATGTGAATATCGTCATGCCCTAAAGCAACGCTTGCAACTGAAGTCCCCGGCCCCCATTTCCTCAGCATATGGTATCATCACAACCTCCCTGCCTGTGCCTTCAGCCTCTTCTGTATCTGTGCAAACTTGCCGAAGTTCATCTTCGTCGTGCTCGTCTCATCCACCCGCTCTCCACTGACAATGACATGAACCATCATCCTAGGATCGTACCGGAGCCCCGACAACAGCTTGGGTGTGATGAGGAAATACTGACTTGTATGCTCTCGGCACGCAACCTCCACCATCCTCTCGTGGACCATACGCTCGTTGCGCGGGTCCATACCCTGGTTGATCTCGTCCACCACCCGGAATGGCGCCTGAGCCAGAGCCTGCAAGGCCATCAGGTAGAAAATGGTTGACACGGCACGCTCACCACCAGACTGTCTGTGCTGGTCGAGCCGCTGAAGTGTCTCCCCCTGACGGAATCTGACCTTGATATCGATAGCCCACTTGTCAAAATCCGCGTCTTTGTGGACACCAACTTCGCCGGCACAGCTGATTTGCTCAAAGTTATAGCTAAAAGCATCATTAATCTGTCCGACGAGCTCGTCCAGGCGGGGCTCCCATTGGCTCTGGATCTCCTCGATTCCGGCGTTGAGCTGGGCCAGCCTTGTCTCCTGGTTTTCCGCAGCATGGCGAATCTGTTCGATCTTTTGGGCGTAAAGCTCGTACTCTTCCAGCGCCTGGGGGTTACCCGCTTCGATCATCTCGAGCTTCGCCTGCTCTGCCGTGATTGATCCCTCAAACTCGGCCACTGTCCTGTCCTGAGCAGCTGCCAGAAGGGCCACTCTGTTCTCATCGTTCAAGAACTCGCTGACCTTGTCTTGAGCTTCTCCGGCAGTTTGTCTAAACTCCTCGACATCCTTCTTAGCCTGTTCCACCTTTGCTTTCTCGTCTTCTAGTCTGGCTGTGATCTCGGCGTTCTTATCTTTGAGGCACTTGACATCCGATTCGGCCTCCAGCTCCCAGACTTGGGCTTCGAGGAGTTTTTGTCGCGTTTTACGGATAGCACCAAGCGTTTCGAAGTGTTTGATGACGGCCTTGGACATGTCCACGGTGGCATCGTCGAGTTGCCTCATAAGATCCACCCTGCGAGCTTTGGCCTCGTCAAGCTCCTTCTGGGTGCGTTCTTGGACCTTTTCTTTGGCATCTGGGAGCAGCTCTGTTAATACACCACAATCGGGTCCACTGCCAGGGGTCTGTCATACCTATCTTGTCCGGCAGGCCGTTCCACTGCGTAAACTCGGCTTGCAATTGGTTCTTCTGCGCCATTAAACCGCTCTGATAGTTGGTTAGTTATATCCAGGTATGCGACAGGAAAAGATACATACCTTCTTCTCCTCAAGTTCCTTGATCTCCGCTGTGAGTGTTTTGTGCTTCTCGGCCACTTCTTTCAACTTTGTCAGCAACTCATCAGTCTTGCCATCGATCTCCTCGATCTTGCGTCTGATTTCGAGCTTTTCAGAACCGTCAACCGGCTGGTCTGTCCAGAACCGGCCCTCGCTGAACCCAGTGACGCGCGTAGAGACCGCCCCCGGCCCATACTCTCTCCGGCGCATGATACGATAAAACTTGCGACCAGCAGAAAAGTAGTTGATGAGCTCGTCCTTTTGGATTTGCTCGAACTGGTCATCGGAAATCTCGTTCAAGCTAAGGGCAGACTGATGTAGTCTTTTCTCTGCGCAAAGCATGGCCAGCACGGGAGCGGGTCCGTCGAGGAAATCGAGAACATAGCCATCGAAGCCATACCGTGAAAGCTGCTCCTTAGGCATAGGTGGCTTGAAGGAATCCAATGAGCTAAAGCAAGTCCGAACAGTAACGGAAAGGCCCAAAGTCCCATACAGCTGGTCGCTCAGCTTTTTGTGGTCCGCCCTGGTCTGAGTCGTGAAACAAAAGAAATCAGATCCCTGGAGCATGGACTGGACCAAGTCCTTGTAGCGCTTGTCTTTAACGGAGCACGTTAGCATGGGAGGCCCAAAGACTTCCTTTTCGAACCCTCCTTGGTTGTCTTTGAGCCAGGCCCAGCCCGCTGCTGCATCAGGGTTCATGTTCTTGAGCTGGTTGAGAAGTTGGCCCTCTTGCGAGTCCAGGGCCTCCAGTTCCTGCACCAATGCCATCTTCTGTTGCCTCAAACCATATCCCTCCGTCTTGATAGCGTCACGTTCTGGGACAAGATCCAAGGCCTTCTGCTGCTTCTCGCGCTTCTGGTGGTCTAGCTCTCGCTGTCAAAACTGTCAGCGACACAAACCTTTCGAGTGTACATAACTGCTCAAACTACCCACAATCTGGAGGTTCCATTCACCAGCCTTGAATTCCTTGGGCTTTTGTGCGTACTTTGCCTTCAGATCGGTGATCTCCTTCCTCAAAGCACCCATCCGCTTCCTCTTGTCCTTGAAATTGTCTTCCTCCGTCCGAATCGCGTTTTCGATCTGCGTCATTCTCCCACTTGCTGATTCCACCGGACCCAGCGCTTTGTCGGCCTCGGCTACAGCCTGCTCCAGTTCTCGTCGCCGAAGAGTTACGATGCCTCTAACTTTGCGAGAATAATCCTGCTTTCTATTGACGGCTTCGAGGGCAGGCGCGACGCTTCTTTCGAGCCTCTTATAGGCGCGCTGTGACTCTTTCTTACGCATTCTGGCTTCGTTAAAGTGTTCCCTGGCCTCCTGATATTGAGCGATCAGTCGAAGTTGCTTCAGTTTGATCAGCGCTTCCTGGATAGCCTTTCTCTCGCGAAGTTTGTCGACATCCGCCTGCAGAAGCCGCTGTTTGTCCTCCATCCTCTTGACGTCCTCGCGAGTCTTGTCCGTGATGGATTGCACTTCCTTTTGCTCCTTGAATCCCTGTTTCAATTCCTGCTGCCACACAATCATGTCCTGTGGCGCGGCGGCATGCAGAGTCTTCTCCAACAGCTCTACCGGAGTCAACCCAGCAAACTCCGCCACCTTGTCCTGTGGTAGGAACTGACATAGGTTGTCGATCTGGATACGAAGGCTCCGCATAAGCTTCTGAACATCCTTGAGGGTGGAACGGCTTCCGTTGATAGTGAACTTCCGACTATTATCCTCGCGCCTGATGACAAGTCCAATGACGTAGTTCTCGGCATCTTCAGGCTTCCGCTGTAGCTCAACCTCGAGTTCCGCCTCATCGTTGCCGTGCTTGACGAAGTCGCCAAAAGTACTCGCCCTCCCCAGTACGTTCGGTGGATAACCAAGTCCCAAGCAAATGGCACAGACCAGCGAACTTTTCCCTGTGCCGTTTGGCCCAATAACCATATTCAGATTAGGTCCGAGAGAGAATTGGGCTTCGGAATAGGTAACGAAGTTGCGTAATTTCACTCGCACAATTGCACCCGGTTGGAATGTACTTGCTGATTCGTTCGCGGTAGTGTCATCATCGTGATAAGCCCGTGGCCCATCTCCCCCTCTTCGTCGTAGGAAGCTGTAGTCGCCGGCATCATCTGGGGCGGCTCTTTTCAGCGAGGTCGTTGGCGCCATTTCGCCCAAGCCAAGGTGTAAATGGACTGGGTAACTCGCTTTCCGTCAAGGATTCTTCTGAGAAAGAGGGTATTTTGAAAGACCAAAATCCACAAGGAATATGCACGCCTTTCGTCGTTACAGCGTGACCTTTAAGAGGTTGAGAACGCGTCGCGTTTGCTGCAGCGCGTGGTGGGGTTGGGGTTAATTGGTAAACTCAAAAGGTGGAACTGCAATCCGTACCCAAGTCCGTGCACGGCGACCTTGAAGTCTGGCCAACAAGAGGCAGTCAGTGTGGTCCAAGCTCGGCAAATGCAACTGCTGTTGCTTAGGTAAGATATTATATTCGCGCTGTTCCAAGTTCAACATCACAGCTGCTATCAACGAAGGAGAACGACAAGGTGGATGGATTTTCGAGTACGGGTGGCCATGAAATTTCGATCTGTTACAGTCCAACTGTTCGGGACAATACAAAAATATGGGTGTATCATTTCGAATCTCATGATGACAAGGGTAGGCTCGAAAGAATGAAGGAGCCCCTTTGCCGGGGACCAGAGGCTCTCACCATGGGTAGATAGATATTATGTATCATGGATCAGATCAGTAGTTTTAGATGTATCGGCATGAAGAAGTGGTTCCGGAATCGTGTTTTGGGGCCAGAATACTTGGCACAACCAGTTTTGTCTGGAATTCCATCGCACATAAAAACAAAACACCATGCTTCTGCTGCATTCCTCACACTCTTCCACACCAACACTGAGATATACCGGTACAGACAAACACAGAGGACTCTCTCATACTGGGTACATGCGTGTTATCATCGATAAACTACTCATATGGGTAGTTGATGCCAGCACACAAGAGCGTGTACTGTTGGATCCTGACAGAAAACACCCCAAGGGTCTTAATTTCCGAATGCCTTCAGCTCGACAACTCGAGATACCGAGCTTCCCCTTGCATAGCAGGTGACGACGAGCAAGCCGTAAAATGCACTGTATGGTTCCATGGCATATCGCGTTTCCATCTTACTGGCCAGCCCCATTGGAGCACTGGTTTTTCAGGCCCACGCGAGCCTGGCAGCGACTCTGTTGCAGCGGGTTGTTTTGTTTTGATCACAACAAAGCTGGTTGCTATGCAAGCTTTCTCTCGCTCCTACCCTTCCCTCAGGCCCCACGCTTTTCACTCCCCGCCATTCCACTCGCTGCATCTATCAAACTCCGCCCATCGACCCAACTCCCACTCTCCTTCTCTCTCCAGATCGTCGCCGGACAGTGCTGACCTTCGCACCACCACCACAGTCGTTTAGCTTCTTACACACTCATTTTTGTGTGTCTTTCCTTCCATCGCCAGTCGGACCTCAACACCACTCGTTAATTCATTTACAGCTTCTAATTCTCGAGGTTACATCTTCCAACCGACTCCTTCACTATCACTGCAACTTTCCAACCATCCGATCGTCTATTTGCTTCTTACAGTCCTTTCTGCATCGGACCATGTACTGATCCGCCCTCCATCCCGTCAATCATGGATAGGCACAGCAACTCGCGACATGGCCGTCAGCCGCTCGCTGACACGACCAAGCGAGTCAACAATACAACAGTCGTCAGCACGGCGCGTTCCCATCACAAAGGCAATGATGAGAATTACGTATTGAGGTCCAAGAAGGTTGTCAGAGGCTCGTCAACATCTGTTGTCGCCGGTACAAGTCATCAAGTCGAGCGTCAGACGAAAGGCACATCAGATCGACCAGTTGCAGTAGAACACCCTGCGCCAGTCAATCAGCATCTTTCAGCTGTTTCTCAGGAAGTCGACCTCGAAGCCGCCCGGCGCATCTCTCAATTTTCCAATGTTTCTTCCAATGCTTCCACCACAAGACAGCTCAAGACACACATTGGACCTTGGCAGCTGGGCAAGACATTAGGCAAGGGGACTTCGGCGCGTGTTCGTCTCGCACGTCACCGTGTTACTGGCCAATTGGTGGCCATCAAGATTTTGTCCAAAAGCACCGCCTTCATCAACCAGTCGGGTAGTCTGGCGAATCTTGACCGGCTCGAATATCGAACTCCCCAAACCGATGCGGAAGGCGGTCTTCGTCGAATGCCGATAGCTATCGAGCGCGAAATTGCCGTCCTTAAGCTCATCGAGCATCCAAACATTATCAAACTGCTTGACATTTGGGAGAACAGGTCGGAGATGTAAGTCAGCATACCCCGTGCGTGCTCGAATTGTGGACTAACTCGATGCTCCTTACTAGCTACATGGTCACCGAATTTGTTGAAAAAGGCGACATGTTCGAGTTTATCCGCTCGGTTGGTGCTCTACGTGAATGGGAGGTCGTCTTTTACTTCCGCCAGATCATGAGTGCGCTGGATTACTGCCATTCATTGAATATCTGCCACCGAGATCTCAAGCCGGAGAACATTCTGCTTCACAGCAGTGGTCAGGTCAAAATTGCGGACTTTGGGATGGCGGCTTTGCAACAAAGCCAACACCATCAGCTCACAACGGCCTGTGGAAGTCCTCACTATGCGGCTCCGGAGTTGCTTCGACACCAGGCCTACAAAGGCTCAGCGGTCGACATTTGGAGCATGGGCGTCATCCTGTTCGTCATGCTTGCTGGCTATTTGCCGTTTGATGACGACGACCTTGGTGTCATGATTCAAAAGGCCAAACGCGCCGAGTACCGCATGCCCCCGCATTTGAGCAGGGAAGCTCAGGATCTGATCCGGAGGATGCTGGTGCCCCAGCCTGCGAATCGTATCACCATGGCCCAGATGTGGCAACACCCGCTCATCCTCAAGTACCCCGATATTCCACAATGCTTCGAGTGGGAACAGCGCCAGCAATCAGGTTTGCAGAAACGCAATGTCTCGCCCATCCCTGAGGCGGAGGTGGACATTCAGATTCTGAGACAGCTCAAGGCGCTCTGGCACGCGTACCCCGAAGCTGAGCTCAAGCTCAAGTTGGCCCAGGAAAAGTAAGTTCTCCTGCCTTTCTTGCGGTGACAACACAGAACTAATCATTCCGGCAGACCGAACGACCAGAAACTGTTCTATCACCTGCTCTATAATCACCGTGAAGTCCAGTTGGAAAACTACAACAACAACGTACCCATCTCGAAGAGCGATTATCATCACCTCAAGCCTCCCAACTGGGGCAAACGCATCTCCACTTGCGAGTTTACCCAGCCAGGGCGATACGGTCAGAAGCGAGCAGTGTCAAAGTTCACAGTCATCTCGAATGTGCCGGGGAAAGCAGACAAGGACGAAACGGGCACAATACGCAGCTATGATCCTTACAATGCGTCCCGGGTGTTCCATTCTGTCCCGCACGCCAGTCACGCCAAGATTATAATTCACCGCAATGGCTCTCAGGATGGCATCGGACGTTCTCCCACCACTGTCTCGCACTCGTATCGTTCATACAGGTCCAAGGGTGGTTCGGTGCGACACCAGCTTCGAACCCCTTCACAACGGACCGCGACAACAGCCGGTCGTCTGCGAACCCCTCGGGGCTCCATGGGCTCAATTCATAGCCACCACAGCACCCCGAGAGTTCGTGTCAGCAGCAGGCTCTCCAGGCGTGGGGTTGACTTCTCAGCAGTCCGCAAAGGTCAGAAGTATCAGGGAAGCCGACATGGTTCTGTGGCTGCCCCAGCTAGCATTGCGGGCGACAACACGACATACGACCGTGATGCCTACTCGCCACGGAAAGCCACCAAGACCCCAAGGCCTACGACCACTGTGTCTATGGCTGACGTCAACAACAACAAGAAGGAGGAGAGGGTGCTTTGGGGCGAGGAACTCAAACAGTTTCATACCTCGATTGCCCGAGACATTGACGAAGCCTTCGGCAGCTCACTCCTCGTGTCAGCGCCCAGCGAGACGTTACTTCAGAGCCGTGAAGGGAGCCACTTGAGCTTTTCTTTGGCTGATTCGTCTTTTGCGCAAATGTCGCAGTCATCGCTTGCTGGTCCGCGCTCGTTTGCGAGTAACCAGCGAGAGTATAGCAGACCATTGCCTCCAGTTCCGTCCCAATCCACCGTCTCTCCTCTGTCAATCCGCAAGCAGAGTCTGGAGGTTGCGCCTGTAACGCATAAAGTCTCACTCCTTGACCCTGGCTCAAGCATTCATCTTCCTGATCGTCGGGTGGTGTCAGATCCGATTCACAACCGCTCAGTGAAGACAGTCAACCAGCTTCCATCTATTTATGAGAGCAGCCCGGAGGTTGTCCCTGCGGAAACCCCAGCTCGTGTTAAGAACAGAGGGCTGGATTATTTGTCCCGGGCTGAGAACACCATTCGGGTGGTGAACTCGCCAACGGTGGTAGAAGGTGGCGATCCGGCTGCGGTTCCGCGGCCGCTCAACGTCCGCAAGCTATCTCTCCATCCAACCAAGAACGAACGCCCTACCACTGTTCAGGAGTCACGAAGACATGCATCCTACTCGGGTCATCAACCGACCCACTCGGTTGACAATACAGAGAATGGCGTTGGTGCGCAGCCCAAGAACAGGGTGTCATCTTGGTTCAAACGCGCCTCCAAGGATGGAAACAGCCCCGCCGTTACCCCCACCACCGGGACGTTCCCCCGGCACGGCGAGGAATACGCCGGTTCGGAGGCTAGCGGGCCCAGCAGGCCTGTCTCGTATTCCATCGACGAGCCTGCGGCATCGCGCGCTCAGAAGAAGAAGGCGTTTGGTTTGTCGTTCTGGAAGAGCAACAAGGATGGGCCGAAGATGTCTATTGGAGGTGAGAAGAAGACGCTGTGCTATGTCTTCAGCTGTGACATGCTAACTTTGCTTTGCCATGATAGATTCCGAGTTTGAAGATGTGCACGTCCACGAAGACGGCAGGTCTCAGAAGAGATCTAAGGAGAAGCACAACAGTATGGCCGCTCAAAGTGTCTGGTCTGAGAGCGATGGGGGTGGCCGTAAGATTGAGGTGCAGCAGAACTGGCTGGCACGGCTATTCAGGGTCAAGCCGGCCATGCGATATCTTTGCTTTGCCATCCCCAAGCGGCG